ACCAGTTAAGTCTGACCAAGGAGGGAACATTTCAAGAATGAATAGATCAAGGTCCCTCTGGCAGTGTTTCTCAACCTTAGTGAAACTGAAGATGTGAATCTTCCACCAGCAAAGCTTGCCAAGATGTTTCAGAACAATTTGCCAACATGCTGGAAATGTAAAAAAGTACATGGAACATATTATTATTTATGGTGGACATGCCCAGTTGCGAAAAAATACTGGACTACAATAAGAAGATGGATCGAAGAAATAATAGACCAACCCATAGACTAGAAACCAGAGATCTTTTTGCTGGGTATTTTAAACAGAAAATATAGTAAAGAAACAAGGTACTTAATTTTACATATAATAACGGCACCAAGAATAGTATATGCACAGTGCTGGAAAAATGAGAATATACCATCAGAGGAAGAAGTGATAAGAAAAATCCTGGATTGTGCTGAGATGGACAAATTAACAAAAGAGATAAAAGAAAAGGAGAATAAATATGGAAAAAAGTGAAAATATGTGTATAATAATGTATAATAATAATAATATGAATTATTCTTAGTAAGAAGTAGAGTATGAAGGAAGAAAAATGTAAATAAGAAACAACGGGGCAATAAGGACAAATATTCTAAAGAAGAATAAGGGGGGGAAATGTAAATAATAGAAGATTACCGTTACGTAATCGCTATTAAAAAAAGGGGGAGGAGTATATACTCTGTGTGTGTATGTGTGTGTGTGTTATGTTTTGTTGGTTCAAAAATAAAAAAAAATTTTTAAAAAAGAAACTGAAGATATGAAGACTATGATTCCCAGAATTCCCCAGCCGGCATCCCAATTCCCAATCCACACATCTCAAAGTTGAGAGGTTGAGAAACACTGCCCTCACATTTCACAGCACCTCTCCAAAAGCCACCAATTAAAATCTGAGTTTTGCTGGCATTAACTGCAAGAAAGCCACTTACAGGTAGTCCTCGACTTATGAGCACAACTGGGACCAGAATTCCGTTGCTAGGCAAGATGGTTGTTAAGTGAGTTATCATCCCCAATTTTATGACCTTTTTGCCTTGGTTTTAAGCAAATTACTGAAGTTGTTAAGTAAATCCAGCTTCCTCTGTTGACTTTGCTTGTTGGAAGCTGGCTGGGAAGGTTGCCAATGGTGATCACATGACCCAGGACAGTGCAACCATCATAAATACATGCCAGTTACCAAGCATCCTAAGTTTGATCACAGGACTATGGGAATGATGTGATGGTCATTAGTGCAAGGACCGGATTTAAGTCAGTCTTTTCAGTATTGTTGTAACTTTGAAGGTCATTAAATGAATTGTTTTTAGTCAAGGACTATGTGTTTTCTGAACAGTGAAAGTTCCTATTAAACTTCCTTGCCAAAACCTCTTTGAATCTCCTGGTTTACTCTACACTTACATATAATAAATACTGGGGGAGAATCTGGGGGGAAAAAAATCAAACATTTTGTTCTTGGAGGAAAAGATTGGACAGTCATTGGGCTGGCAAGGTATATGTGCAGTGGGCAGGGGGCTGGACTAGAAGACCTCCAAGATCCCTTTCAGCCCTAGGATTCTATTATTTACCACCCCATTAAGTTCTAGTGTGGTCTGTTTGGTTTTAACTTTGCACAATTAGTGCATGTATGAATTGTGTCTGATACAACTGACACAGCATTTCATGGTTAAACAAAGTACATCTTAGTACAAGGTGCACATCTTATGGTATTTATAGTCAGTTTTGCACATTGCATTAAACATTTGGTTTTTGTTTACCCTACTGTGTGAACCTAATTAATTGTGGTTGCTTGCAAAGTAGACCTGGTTAACAAATAAGTATTTGTCAGGATTAGATGTTTGTATTACAGCACTGTATTTTTTTAGGGTTCAAGATAATTTAGTCCCAGTAAAGTGACTTGATACTTCTCTGTAATTTGGGAACCAAGTAAGGTTGGACCTGAGTTTACATCCAAATACAATGAGACTTTTAAACATACTGATGCACACAGAGAGACACTTAAACACACTATTCCACAAAGAGAACAACTCCCAAACCACGCAAGATCCCAAATTTGCATGTTAGGTTATTTTAAAATCTGTCTCCCTATATTCCAGCCTGCGGGAAGCTGGAGGGCCCTTTCAGCCCTGCTTTCCAAGGTCAGAAGCTTCTGAGCTGTTGCTTCCTTATTAAGTCAGGCCTGGTGTCACCACCTTTGTTGACCGTGCACAGTTTGTAATGAGGTGTTATAGAGGCTATAAAAAAACAGCGAGGCTGGCTTTCTGAGCTGGAACAGAGGAAGGAGTGTCTGCAGATTATAGGCTGTGCCTGCTTTGGGGGGAGGGGGTGGTGAACAATCAGGACGGGAGGATCAGAATTTCCAAGAGATTGTGGGATCTTTTGCAGAACAAAAGACTCCTTCAGTCTCGGGAGCCTGAGATTAGATATCTCCCTCCTTTAAAACCAAGCAACTGTACAGGTAATCCTCAATGTACAACTGTTCATTTAGTGACTGTTTTAAGTTACAATGGCACTGAAAAAAGTGATTTCTGAGTGTTTTTCACACAATCATTGCAGCACTCCCATGGTCATGTGATCAAAATTTGGACACTTGGGAACTGGCTCATACATACAACGGTTGCAGTGTCCTGGGCCATGTGATTCCCTTTTGCGACCTTCTGACAAGCAAGTCAACGGGGAAGGCAGATTCACTTAACAACTGAATCTGCAAAATGTCTTCTTTTTCTCAAGGAAAAAAAACACAAGTCCCTCTAGATCAGCGGTTCTCAACCTGTGGGTCAGGACCCCATTTGGGGTCGAACGACCATTTCACGGGGGTCACCAAACAATGCAGTCCGCCATTTTTTTCCCCTTTTCCTTCGCTGTGCTACTCCCTTTTATTCTATTGGCTTTTGAAAGCCAATAGAATAGACTCTCTTGAATAGAGTCTAATTCTATTGGCTTTCAAAAGCCAACAGGAATTGTCCAGGCTGTCTCTGCCCTGCTGAGCCCGCCAAAAGTCCCATTCTGCAAACGGTGCTACAAGTTGTCTGCAGTGAAGGCGAGCTGTCTGGAAGTTTCCACCCCTCCCTGCTGAGCAACTACTAAAAATGTAAGTAAAAGAGGGCCAGGGATGGGAGGTGGGAGGCTGGCGGGCGCAGGGAGGGTTGCTGGCGCGCGTGGGGCCCGGCGGGTGCCTTACCTCCCTTGGGCTGGGCCAGCTGGTGGCCCAGCCGGTGGTCGGCCTGCGCCGTCTCTGCCGCTTGCCAGCTACGCCTCAGCCGGCGCAGGGGGCAGCACCACGCATGCGCGCCGCTCCTGGGCAGGGAAAGTCTTTGACTTACGACCGGTTGGGTAGTCCTCAACTTACGACCGGTTGGGGGTCGCGACATTAAAAAGGTTGAGAACCACTGCTCTAGATTAAAACTTGAACGTTCCTTGCTCATGCTTCTCACTGGAAGAAGTTACAGCATGTTAGGGAGGCATCTGGTTGGGGAAAACTGGCAGAGTCTTAAACAGGCCTAACCCTAAACTCTAGAGCAAATGGAGTCTCCTTTGTTGTTTTTACCTTTCAGCTTTTCCTACCTGGCAGGACTGCTGTGAGATTAAACTTGGGGAGGGGAACACCTGTGACAATTTTTGTTTAAAAAATATGGCAACTTTAAAGAAGTGGGCCAGGAAATTCTGGGAGCTGAAGTCTACACATCATAAAGTTGTCAAGTTTGAAAAAGACTGGCTTATGACATTGTAATACATTTGTATTACATTAATACATTGTAATACATTGTGCATACATTTCTTGTATGCACAATGAAACCCAAACAAAGGTGGAATGATGAAAAACAGTTAATTATATTTATGAACAGGATATAGGTTGCAGATTCTGTTATGTATCATGCAACGTTCCAGAGATGAACAGCAATTTTTCTCCCAAGTCTCCCCTTACTCCAATATCATTTCTTTTCCCTCCCCCCTTGTACCTCTGTCCAAACAAAAGAAAAACTCCAATTTCTGTTGTTTGCAGGTTTAAATTGTTGCTCAATGAATCCTAAAAGGTTGCACAATAAAGCAAACTGATTAAATGAGCTGGATTCATGCTATGTGCTAAGCCAGAAACTAACCAACATTAAAATTTCCCCAAATGAATATTATACATGAATACAGTGGGTTTAATTTGGGGCCATGGGGTATGCCCTTGCTCCTGCTTCAAAAGTAGAAATAAAGTTTTATCCCATCCTGAACGAGGTCCCCCATAATGTCATCACCCATACGCTACTTGCCCCCTTCTAGAAAAATTTTTCAACTCCATTGTCTAGGCTGCAGCCCCAGGATTTCCTGGTGGTCCCCCACCCCAGTAACAACCACGTTGTACTCTTTTCTGATCAGCGCAGCTGATAGCTAAAAAAGCTAAGTGTCATTTTCTTCCAGCCTGATCTTCCTTGCAGGATTGTTGTGAGCATCAAAGGAGGGGACCCCTAACTGAATCCCCGGGACCTGGGGGGGGGGGAGAAAGGCCAGAGACAAGGAGCCGAACGAAAGGGGATCCTAGGGTTCCTGCCTCGACCTCCCCGGTTGCCCCTCCAGTCCCCCCCAGAACTCAGGACCATGCCGGTGCTCCGAGGAAGCCCTGAAGAGCACCAGAAAGCAGCACAAGAAGCAACGGGTGGAACCTAATCAAGGAGAGATCCAATTTAGAACTAGGAAGAAATTTTCTGACAGTAAGAACAATCAGTGGAGTGGGTCGCCTTCAGAAATTTTGGGTGCTCCATCGCTGGAAGTTTTCCAAGGAGAGAGTGGACAGCCATTTGTCCGGAATGGAATAGGGTCTCCTCCGAGGTCCCTTCCGAGTCTATCATTCTGGTTCCACTGGCCTCCGTCCCCGGGGCCGGAGGACCAAAGCGGAGGGGCGGGGCGGCGGCGGCGGCGGCTGGAGGCGTTTTCCTTTAAGAGGGAAGAAACTCGAGCGCCTGTTTGCGCAACCCGCCCGCGCCGCCAAAGTGTCTAGACTGGCACATGATGGGAGGGAGCCAATGACTCCGCGCTCGCCGAGGGGGCCCCGAGCGCTCCGCGCAGGAGAACAAAAAAGCCAGCAAGGCGAGGGAGGACGGGCAGGCTCGGCGCCGCGCTCGCCAGCCTCTCCCGCTCATTCGTCCGGGGAAGCCCCGCCGCCCAGCCCGGCACCCGCGGAAAGCGCCGCCGCCCCGCCGGGCTCGACTCCGCGCGCTGACGGGAACCTCTGCGGCGCCGCTCCGCCCGGCTCGCCGGCTCGCCCCGGGACGGGGATCGCTGCGTCCGGCCGGGCTATGCCGGGCTGTGCCGGCCCGCGACCGAGCCCGAGAGGCGGCCTGCCGCTCCCTGGTCAGGTCCGGGCAACTTCGTAAGCGGTCCGGCCGAGGAAGAGCCCGCCGTCGAGGGAGACGAACGGGAGCGCCGACGCCGCTTGGAAGTTGCCGGCCCTCCCGACCGCGGCGCCTCCGGGAAGGAGCGTCTCGGCCGCGGCGCCTCCGTGCGGAGAGAGCCGAGGGGGCGGGCGGTGGCGGCGGCTCCGACCGGCGGGCGCTTTGGCTGCCCCTCCCGCGCCGTCGGCCTGCGGGGCTGCGCTCTATGCCGTTGCCGCGCTTCCTGATGCGGCAGCGCGGCTGCCGACCTTGGGCGATTGGCTGGGCCGGCTGTGCGAGCCCTTGCTCCGGGCGCCGAGGCCGCCGACGCCGCGGCGGTAGCGGCAGCCGCAGCCGCCCTCGCTAGCGCTCCTTCATGCGGCGCCCATCCGGGAGGGTCTGACCCGGAGTCAGCGAAGGGCAGCCCGGGCGAAGCGCATGTTCAGGTCCAAACGGGCAGGGCTTGTGCGGCGACTTTGGAGAAGCCGGGTCCTCCCCGACGGAGGCGGCGGCGGCGGCGGCGGCGGACTGGGAGGAGGACATGCGGGCGGCGGCAGCAGCCTCGGGAAGACCGATGAGCCTGGAGGGCGCGAGGGGAGGCGCCCGGTGACCTGCGGAGGCGCCATCGAGGAGCCGGGCGCTCCGGAGCGGTCCATGGTGCGCGGAGACGGCGACCTTCTGGAGGAGGCGGGAGAGGCGGCGGCGGCGCAGGAGGCTGAGGGCGGAGGCCCGAAGGAGGCCGGCTGGTGGGCGCAGGAGAGCGCCGGCCAGACGGTGGGCTGCTGCCTCTTCAAGGAGCGGGGCGTGGACGGCGCCTCCTGCAGCGAAGGGCGCTCCGGGCTGTCGCTGCTGGAGCAGGAGCTGAAGGCCGTCGCCTACGCGCTCTTGAAGCGCCTCAAGGAGCGCTCCCTGGACAGCCTGCTGGAGGCCGTAGAGTCCCGCGGAGGGATGCCCAGCGGCTGCGTCCTGGTCCCCCGGGCCGAGATGGAGGTGCGGCTCGGCGGTCTGGCGGCCCCGCCGCAGTTGCTCCTGGGCAAACTCTTCCGCTGGCCTGACCTCCAGTGCCCCGCCGAGCTGAAGCCGCTGTGCGAGTGCCGGAGCTTCGGCCTCTCCGACGGGCCCACCGTCTGCTGCAACCCCTACCACTTCAGCCGGCTGTGCGGGCCAGGTAAGGCGCCTTCCTGCGCGGGGCCGGCGGGGAGGGAGCGCCCCTGGCGGGTCGAGGACTGCCTTCCCCAACGCAGCGGGGTCCCTGGACTGGTCGCGCTGTCCCCTTGGCCTGGCTGCCCTCGCTGATGAGAATGATAGTGCCGGGCCCTTGGGCTAGGGTTGTGGGTCAGGATTGCTTAGTGTGAAGTTGTGATGCAGCCTGTCCAGACTAAACAAATCTTGTTGGGAGCAGCGACCGGCTTTCCCGACAGAAGGGTGTTGTGTGGTGCAGGCTGAAGAAAGCCGGCCGATTCGGCTTGAGCCAGCGACTCTGCTCGAATGGGTGTCAGAGCCTTTCCAGGCTGGCACTGAAAAACTTGCGACTCCCATAAAAGTCACTCGAGGAAATGCAGGTCCTGGCAGGGGAGCCTCTGGAGATGGAGGTGCTGATGGGCCAGTCTGGATTCTATTGGGCCACGATTCCCCCCCCCCCCAAATTACTTGTACCATTTAAAATCAATCTCCTTTTGGCTCTGGGCTAGCTCCAAAAGAGAGGGGGGGAGCTCCCCCTAGGGAGGGGAGGGGGTGGTCTAGAGGCAAATGTTTCCCTCACCTCCTCTTGCACTCTGAACAAGGAGGAGAGACCCCTCTCTAGCCCCACCCACCAACCCTGGGAATGCTGACCCCAACAGGTCTGGACAGGGGAAGGATTCTGCAGCTCTGCCTTGAGCGGCCCCCAAGTGCATGGGGGGAGGGGGTGGATTTTGCCACAATCTGATTTCCATCTCTGGAGGAGACAAGATGCCATCTCTTCTTTCTGGAACTCAGCCCAAGCCCTTGATAAGGAGATGGCACCTGACCGGGAAAGGATTTAATTGTGTTCTGAAACTTCATGAAGTGCCTCTTGAGGACCTTGTGTGTCTTAATCACCTAAAAGCATTTGCAGAATGCTCTTCTGAGGATTCTTCTAAAAAGACCTGAGCTTCAGGACCTTTCTTGTGGCAGTTGGCAACTTCCTCTACTGTACTTTCTTCAGCTGGAAATGTTAGGTTAAATTTACTTTGCCCACCCGGTGTAAATTAGAATTTGTGGTTTCTGGCAAGTGGCATTCAAGAATGGTAGTTTTGGAAATCTCCTGTGAAGACTCCGAGATGCCCTGAGCAAGGGCTGACCTTCTATTTTTCCATCATCTCAGATTCCCTTAAAAGAGGCTCTTCAGAGGCAAATGCTGTTTGCCACGTGCCTTCGGAAAACGTTTGCCTCTCGTCTGAGTCCGTAGCTCAGTTTGCACTGAACCAAGATTTTTTCATACATGGAGAGTTTTCATTTGAGAACTGGAACATCTGGTAGCTCCTTGAATGGCTGAATTACATTGCTGGTAGACACTTCCATCCTTCCCTCCAGGCAGAGAACCTCTCCTTTGTAAACACCAACCATGCTGGAAGCATTCAGCCTCACAAAGTTTGTTTACTCTCATCTATGGGTACTATAGGTTGCATTATACAGGTAGCCCTCAACTTCCAACAATTTGTTTAATGACCAAAGTTATGTCACTGAGAAAAGTGACTTAGGACTGGTTTTCACACTTATGACCTTTGCAGTATGGGATCAAAATTCAGATGCTTGCAGTGTCCTGGGGTCACGTGATTCTCTTTTGCAACCTTCTGACAAGCAAAGTCAATGGGGAAACCAGATTCACTTAACAACCGTGTTACTAACTTAACAACAGCAGTGATTCACTTAACAACTGTAGCAAGAAAGGTCATAAAATGGGACAAAATTCACTTAACTATTTCACTTAGCAACAGAAATTTTGGGCTCAATTGTCGTAAGTTAAGGGCTACTTGTACCATGGTTTCTTTTAAGCGGGGTTTGTTGAATAATTATACGTTTATATATTCTTTTTTGACATTTGTATTGGATTCTTTTAAGTGAGATGGGCAACTATATAAATCAAATCTGTAAATAAACCAAGACCCAGTTCACCCTTTGGACTTAGCCTTGAAAAGGAATGGATTAGGAAGCCATGTCATGGCTTGATCCTAAAATGAAGCCATGATTTGGATGTTTGGAAAATTCCATATCTAGAGAATTTTAAAACCCCAACTCCCAAACCTGCAGTGCTCTCTCTCAGGGCTTTCAACAGCCTGAGAGTCACCCAATTCTTAAGAAATCAAGAACGAACATGCATAATCCAAACTGAGTCCTTAGTCATGATGCTACTTGTGGCAGCTGTTTGGTTTTATTCATTCACTGAATTTATGTCTTGCCTTTTCCTGAGCACTCACAAGGAGGCACATGGGTCTTCACTAATTTTATTTCCCCCAACCACAGTCTTTGTGAGACAGATTAAAGGAAAATAATAAGATTGGCCCCAAGTCATCTACCTGGGTTTCCGTGTCCATAGCTGGCTAGGGAATTCTGGGAGTTGAAGTCCAGCCATCTTCAAGTTGCCAAGGTTGAGAAACACTGTCCTAGGCCATTATCATCCCAGCAACTGACAGCATCTTCATAGCATCACCCAGCCTCTGTTGGTGATACAAAGCCTGTCCACAGTGAAGTTTGGATGACTTCAGAGCAGCGTTTTTCACCCTTGGCCACTTTAAGATGGGTGGACTTCAACTCCCAGAATTACCCAGCTGACCAAAGTTGAGAAACACTGCTCCAGAAGATGTTCTGAAGTCACTAGTACAGAAATGATCTTCCTCCAATAATTGGACCATTGCTAGCTTGACTCTTTGGCTGTGCTTTACTACTAAGACTGGGTAATGTTTGCCTGAATACTTTAAGATGGAATCAGGCACCAGTTTGTGTCATGTTAAAGATATCATCCCCCACATCTGGGACCGACAACCTGAAGAACACAAAGGCCCTAACTCCTAAGAAGTCTGTGCAGTCTGCATATCTCCTGAAGTTGCCATCCAACTGCAATTTTTAATGTGACATAAGAAAATTGCTCAATGTAATGAGACATAATTGCCAAAAATAATTTTATCTAGCCTTGATGAGTTTCTGGAGTGCATCTTAAGTCTCCCCCATGAAAGTTAGAAATCTCTGATCTCAAACTATTCATTCCCCATATGACATGGATTTATATTTATTTATATTTATATTTGATCTCCTCTTCGTTTTATGGTTTTCTTGAAACTGGATCAGTCTTGATTCTTTCAGAGCTCTTTAAGAATCCAATGTCTAGCTAACCTTTGGGCATTACTGCAGCTACTTTTACACACAACAGTTAACTCTTGATCAGCCTTTGAGTAATTCCCAAACAAGGCCTGTTGTGTTTTAGAGATTCTTTGGTATGGAAATTGTGGCTGCTGGTCTCATGGCTTGAAGGGGTACCTGAATGTTGCCAGTATCTAAAGCAAAGAGGGAGGGAGAAGAAGAGAGAGAGGAAGATGGAATAGCGAGGGAGGGAGGGAGGGAGGGAGGGAGGAAGGAAGGAAGGAAGGAAGGAAGGAAGGTGGCATTATTGGTACCTACCATCTGAAAAGTTCTACAGCGAATGGAATTTATTTCTGTCCCCTGTGTCAGCTCAGGGAGTGATTTGGATGGAGATTTCATCCTGCAGATTTTTTATCTGAAGTAGGACAGAATCTGATTTGCTTTCTCATTTGCTGTTTCGGGCTATTAAAGCAACACTGTCAACATGTTTAGATAAATATTTGGAGCCTGCAAACTGCCTAACCCCCCCCCCTCCCCAAAATGATTAGGAATAAGGAATATGTAGTTCTGTTCTAGCTCTCCCCAAATAGGGAAATAACATTTCTCTCCCCCTCATCTTTTTGTTCTGGATTTTGCTTCTGAATTCATCAAAATTCTGCTTTTGTCAAAAATTTTGACATGGCATTATTTTGTACAAGGCCCAGCACACACAGTTTATGCTAAAAGGTCTTAATAGCTGAGGGGGGAATTCCATTCAGTCCCAGTCTGGCTGCAGACAATACTTTACATGAGGAACAACAACTTGGGGCCTTGCAGATGTTGCCGAACAACAATTGCTAGGATCCCTCCTCACCGGCTCCTGTGTCTCTGACTTGGTGCACTTTGGGTGGCCACCCCCACCTCTCTCCTTTTGCACAATCCACAGGCTTTAAAACTGGTGAAACCTGGTGGCTGAAGTGTGATAAAGGAAACTCTCTGATGAACTTTGCTGGCCAACTCTTTAACAGAATAATCGGGTTGGAAGGGACCTCGGAGGTCTTCTAGTCCAACCCCCTGCTCAAGCAGGAGGCTCTATACCATTTCAGACAAGTGGCTGTCCAGTCTCTTCTTAAAAGCTTCCAGTGTTGAAGCACTCACAACTTCGTGGGAAGTCGTTCCACTGGTTAATTGTTCTCAATGTTAGGAAGTTTCTCCTTATTTCCAGGTTGCTTCTCTCCTTGATGAGTTTCCATCCATTGCTTCTTGTCCTGCCTTCTGGTGCTTTGGAGAATAGCTTGACCCCTTCCTCCCTGTGGCAGCCCCTCAAACATTGGAAGACAGCTATCATGTCACCCATAATCCTTCTCTTTGTGACTAGACACACCCAGTTCCTGGAACTGTTCATCATATGTTTTATCCTCCAGTCATCATCTCTGTTGCAGGGTGCATGCATTAAATGAATTTTAAGCCTATCCATTGAAATGCAAAGTATGATTTATGCAAAATCCAAAAATCCAAGCAAAGCTTATCTTTATTTGCATTTTACTTGAAGGATGGTCTTTTCCAAATTCCTGATAGAAAAGAATCAGAAACTGCAGCCATGGCTGGATTCCAGCCTGCAAAGGGTTAATTTTTCTATCGGGCTGGTATTAAAAGGAAGAAAGCAACGGATTTCCCTGAGAGAGGGTGAGGGGAAACTTTTGCCAGAATGGGATCTGTTAGATTCCAGGCTAGCTGGTAAGAGGAGACCCATAATAAAGACATCGGAAGCCAACAGCATTGCAGCTCCTACTTATGTGCAATTAAATTCTTTTCTTGGGGCTGAACAAAAAAATTCTTGTTTTCCTTGCTTAGTTGAAAGTTTCTGCAGTGCCTTGAAGAAGGGGCAAGTAAAATGGGGGAGGGTTGTGTGGGGGAAAGCAGAATGCAACTTTTGCAAAAGGTGCTTTCCCCTTTTCCTGTTTTGGGCCACCTGGGAACAGCTTTGCCCCCCTCTCCAGCAGGCAAACCAGCATCCCCTGCACTGTGGCTCAAGCAGAATAGCTGCTGTTCACTGGAGCAGGACTAAATCCGAGGGAGGGGAAGGGGAGGCAGACGGTTGCCCAATTTCATACTTTGCTTTGGCAGCAAGGAGCTCTTAACCTGGACTGGCAGTTTTTCAAGAGGAGGCATTGAAGAGAGAATCAGAATAGAGCTGGAAGAGACCTTGGAGGTCTTCTAGTCCAGCCCCCTGCTCAAGCAGGAGAACCTAGACCAGCGGTGGCGAACCTATGGCACTCAGAGCCCTCTCTGTGGGCACGTGCGCCATCGTCCCAGTCCTAGGCCTTCATCTGGGCTTTATAAAACCTTTTCGCTTTAGGCCTCCGCCGCTGGGTACAAAAAAACAAAGGTTCAATCAATCAGTCAATTTCAACTTCTCACAAAAAAAAAGATCTTGCAAAGTTGGAATTGATTGATTGAACTTTTTAGTCCCACCCAGTCTGCTGTTACCACTGCAGCCATGCCCAGCCAATGGGCCACACCCACCCAATGGGCACAGCCACCCAATGGGCCACACCCACCCGGCACCCGACGATGGATAAGTAGGTTTTGGGTTGCAGTTTGGGCACTCGGTCTCTAAAAGATTCGTCATCACTGCTCTATACTATTTCAGACAGATGGCTGCCCAGTCTCCTCTTAAAAACCTCCAGTGTTGGAGCATCACAACCAGCTGTTCCACTGGTTAATTGTCCTCACTGTTAGGAAGTTTCTCCTTAATTCCAGGTTGCTTCTCCCCTTGATCAGTTTCCATCCCATTGTTACTTGTCTGGCCTTCTGGTGTTTTGGAAAATAAGTTGACCCCTTCCTCTTTGTGACAGCCCCTCAAATACTGGAGTACTGCTATCATATCTCCCCTAGTCCTTCTTTTCTCTAGAGTAGCCATACCCAATTCCTGCAATCCTTCATATGTTTTTGTCTCCAGCCCTTTAATCATCTTAGTTGTTTTTTTTGCATTTTTTCCAAGGTCTCAACATCATTTTTGTAATGTGGTGACCAAAAGCTGGATGCATTACTCTAGGTGTGGACTCATTAAGGCAGTGGTTCTCAACCTTTTTAATGCCGCGACCCCCAACTGGTCGTAAGTCGAGGACTAAACCAGTCGTAAGTCGAGGACTACCCAACCAGTCGTAAGTCAAAGACTTTCCCTGCCCGGGAGCGCCACACATGCGTGGTGCCACCCCCTGCACCGGCCGAGACATAGCTGGCAAGCGGCAGAGATGGAGCAGGCTGACCACCGGCTGGGCCACCAACTGGCCCAGCCCAAGGGAGGTAAGGCACCCGCCGGAAAAGGGGGAAAAATGGCGGACAGTCTTGCTTGGCGACCCCCGTGAAATGGTTGATCGACCCCAAATGGGGTCCCGACCCATAGGTTGAGAACCGCTGCACTAAGGCTTTATGAAGACTGCCCCCCCCCCTTGCTTCTTCCTCTGTCTTTCCAAACTTTTTCAAACTTTGGAGAATTGACTCCCAGAAAGCCCCTTTGTAAAATGCTGGCCTTTCCTGCGTTGCTTTCTTTCAGAAGTGGCAGTTGTATCCAGAAAATTACAGGTAGTCCTTGACTTACAATGGTTTGTTTAGTGACTGTTCAAAGTTGCAATGGCATTGGAAAAAAAGGACTTATGACCATTTTTCACACAACTGTTGCAGCATCCCCATGGTCACGTGATCAAAATTAACTTGTCAGCTGACTCCTCTTTATGATGGTTGCAGTGTCCCGGGATCATGTGGTGATCCCCTTTTGCGACCTTCTGACAAGGAAAGTCAATGGGAAAGTCAGATTACGGACTGAACTGCAGTGATTCACTTAACAACTGTGGCAAGAAAGGATATAAAATGGGTAAAACTCACTTGTAACAACTGTTTCGCTTAACCACAGAAATTTTGGGCTCAATTGTAATTGTAAGTTGAAGACTACCTGTACTCTTGTTTTTTATTATAACAAGGGTGTCCAGCCTTGGCAGCTAAGACCCATGGACTTCAATTTCCAGAATTCCAGGCTAGGGGAATTCTGGGAGTTGAAGCCCACAGATCTTAAAAGTTGCAAGGTTGGAAATCTCTTGATTTATAACTAAAGGAGAGAAAAGGTTTTTGGAGGTAGTGAAAATCACTGGTTCTTCAGGCAATTGCAGAGAAAACACACGTAGGCAAATCCCTCTCTTTTGGCCTGGCGTTATTATCCCCTTTCAATTGAGATCATTTTCAAATTGTGCTTAGAAAGCTTCCCCCTTTCTTTCTTGAAGGAGTTTCTCCTCCACCCCCCCCCCAACCCACTATTTAGGTGAAGAAGTGGTGATAATATGCAGTTTGCATTTGGCTGGCGCCAGCTTGACTGGCCCTTGTATCTGACGGCCTGTCTTAAAGCAGCAGCGCCTCTTATTTTTAAAAGCAGATCTTTATGGCAAGTTTTTTTTTAACGTCCTTCTAGCGCCTCTTATTTTTAAAAGCAGATCTTTATGGCAAGTTTTTTTTTTAACCTCCTTTTGCAAACATGTTTTTCAAACTTGCCAAACCTGTACGGGAGAAGAAGAACCAGCTACCTGAGCCTGAATGTCTTGGTTTTTATGATTTTTTCTCTTGCTCCAGTAATATAATGCAGTTAGATGTGGAACTGAGTAAGAATCCATGAGAATGTTTCTTGGATGCAAGGTGTGATAGCTTGGATCTCATAAGTATGTTTGTGAAAGGGCAGGGAGCTGCTTTCTCGCTTCTAATTTTTTAAAAAAATGTCATTTAAAGTGTGTGTGGGGGACTCCAAGGACCCTAACATTGCTGTTAGCAATTTTCATTTTTCTTAGAGCTGTAAGTCGATTAGGAGACGAGCTTTCCTTCATTCATACATACATACATACATACATACATATATTGCAATATCATTTTCTTTCCCTTGACTATTACCGTATTACCAAATACCGTGTTTCTTGTAATAGAAGCACAGAAACTTAAGAGGAAAGTTTTGGCTGTCTTGAGCATGGTTGGACATATCCAGAGGAAGTGTTGGTTTGCCAAAAAAGTAACTGTCATTTGGAATGTTTCTGCTTCAGAGTTAAACCAATTTTGTTTGGTAGCCAGTTTTGACTGTTTTAGTTCCTTGCTGAACTCTGGGCTGTGTTTACCCAATGCAATAATAGATGCTTTGCTGAATTAGCTCAGTTGCACAAATTTTTAAAACACCTGAACCATCAATCAAACCTTCTGGTTGGATTTGCACAACATGCTGATCCTTTAACCCAGTGCATTTTAGGCTGTGTGTTGTGCAAAGCCAGCTCTTTTGTTGTAGTCCTTTGAATTAGCTCAAGTTTTTGGGAACCATGGACCACAATTACAGGTCCCTTTGATGCTTTTGAAAGCAAAAAAAAAAGGCACTTAATGGATTCACACATTCTCCTAAACAATGATTCCATATGTTTTTTGCATTACCAGCAATGGGGTGGGCACCAGCCAGCAGTTTAACACCCCTGGAATAACTAGTTGAAAACAGTATCATTGTTGACAGGATCTGTGTTCTTATATTGCTGGAAGTATAAGGAAGATACTTTGACCTCAGTAAAAGCCAGTAATTTTCCAGGCACGTGGGAAGAAATTTCTAAATTTGGGGACTACTTCTTCAACCAACATGGAGAAAATTAACTACAGGTAGTCCTTGATTTACAACAGCTCATTTAGTGATTGTTCAAAGTTTACAAAAGCACTGAAAAAAGTGATGTGACCATTTTTCACAGTTACAACTTTTGCAGCATCCCCATAGTCTTGTAATCAAAATTCAAGTGCTTGGCAACTAGTTCATATTTATAACCTTTGCAGTGTCCCTAGGTCACATGATCACCTTTTACGATTTTATGACAAAGTCAGTGGGGAAGCCAGATTCACTTAACAACCAGATTACTAACTTACAACTGCAGTGATTCACTTAACAACTGTGGCAAGAAATGTAATAAAATAGGACAAAACTCTCTTAACAAATGTCTCACTTAACAGAAATTTTAGGTTCAATTGTGGTCATAAGTCGAGGACTACCTGCACAGGCTGGATCATATTCCTTGGGAGGACCAGACCTGTATTCAGCCAACCAAAACCATGTTGCGTTTGATGGGATTGTTGTAGGGTGTAAATGAGCTTGAAAATTGCAAGCAGTAGTCTCTTTAAGGCATATCTGGTGGCATGTACAAGATGCTAAACCTATGTAATGGATGTATTGTACAAGGGACAAAGTGCATATTTATGCCATGCCATCTTATGATTGAGCATTATGGTTTGGTTGATGCAACATGCTAAGACAGTATTTCTCAGTCTTGGCAGTTCACCAAGGTTGAGAAACACTATGCTAAGACAATCTTAGGGTTCCTAGAAAAGGCTGACTCATAGATTTATCCTATCCCAATTTAGTCAAGTCTAAAGAGCTGGGTCAACCAAGCAAAGGAACTTTGAAGGAGGGTTATTTATGGACCATGATAGAAGTCTTCTGCCCCTAAGATTCGCATGCATCTAAGGCCTGCAGCTTGGCAAAGGAAGTAGATTCTGTTATTCTGCTTTCTGTCAACTGTAGTATCTTTTCATATATGTGAGCTTCTGATCAATATCCTATCCTTTGTTCAACTAGAAGTGATTTCATTGAGATAGAAACCCACTTTCTGAAAATTTGGATGATGGTTCATTTGCCTCCTTTTTCTTTTTCAGAATCACCACCCCCTCCTTATTCCCGGCTGTCTCCAAAGGACGAGCAAAAGCCATTGAGTAAGTATGTTCTCCACCCAGACTTTCTTCCTGCAGTTTGCAAAGCATTAGTAAGAGTGGTCCAGGTGTTACGTTCACAACTGGAGACCTGTATTTTGTTGGCAACCTTTGACTCTTTTCCAAAAGGAAGATAGATGCCTTTGGCTTTTCTCTTTATATAATGCAAGATGATGCAAAACGTAGACATAGAACATAGAATAATAGAGTTGGAAGGAACTTTAGAGGTCTTCTAGTTGAAACCCCTGCTTGAATAGGGGTTTCTTCTCTTCTGAAGGCAAGCTATTCCACTGGTTGATTGCTCTCACCATTAGGAAATTTCTCCTTAGTTTTAGGTTGCTTCTCTCCTTGGTTAGTTTCCATCCATTGTTTCTTGTCCTGCCTTCACGTGCTTTGGAGAATAGGTTGATTGCCTCATCTTGGAGGGCTTGTACAGTGAAGTACATGGAAGTACATAGAAGACTTGTACAATGTTGTTGTGGATTGTGCAGAGGATATAGAACTATCCAGGATCAAACTCAGTGTTACACATTGCAAAGTCAGTAAGAAGACTCTGGTCAAGGTCTGCTCCAGAGAGCAGGTCCTGGCACCCGATTGAATTATCCAAGCTAACATAGCAAAAATGGTTTCGAGAGACAAGGAGGCCTCCTCAGTCTATTGCAGATCTAGTTTCAGCATTAGAATAGACTCAGGCAATACAGGTAGTCCTTGACATACAACTATTCTTTTAGTGATCTTTCAAAATTGCAACAGCACTGAAAAAAGTGACTTAATAACCATTTTTCATACTTGGACTGTTGCAACATTCCCTTGATCAGAATATGGATGATTGGCAACTGGTGTGTATTTATGATGGTTGCCGTGTCCTGGGGTCATATGATCCTCTTTTATGACCTTCTGACAAGCAAAGTCAATGGGGAAGCCAGATTCACTTAACAACCGTGTTACTAACTTAACAACTGCAGTGATTCATTTAACAGCTATGGCAAAAAGGTTGTAAAATGGAGCAAAATTAACTTAACAACTCTCTTGCTTAGCAATGGATGGGGGTTGGGGACCCCTGATCTAGAATGATGATGGTGAACCTATGACACATGTGTCACGGGTGAGATGCCAGGCCTCTCGACCCTCTTGAATTTGTGTGAGAGGGCCCTGCTCTTTGAGAACCCCTGGAGTGTCTGAAAATCACAGAAGTCCAGAGAGGACATCTGGAGAGGCCTCCCTTGTCTGTATGTGCATGAGGGAGAAGGGGGAGGAAGAGGGGAGAGGCAGGACGAGGGTAAATGCAAGAAAGGAAAGGTAAATGAAGGGAAGGGAGAAAAAGAAGGAGGGAAGGAAGGATGGGTTACAATCAGTTTGCTGGGCTCCTTGTTGTACTGACCGTCATCCAGAAATAATCTAGATAAGGTCTAGTGGACAATGTGGTGGCCCGGCAGTCCTCCAAAGGTCCCAGGGTATAACAAAGTGGTATAACAAAGTGGATTATCAGTCTTCCTGACTGCATGGCATTTCATCGTACAATTTTGTGGATACTTTTTTATTTGCAAAAAAAAAAAAAAGAAATCAACTACAGGCAGTCCTCAACCTACAACAGTTCATTTAGTGGCCATTCAAAGTTACAACGACACTGGAAAAAGTGATTTAAAGCTATTTTGCACATTTCCAACTGTTGCAGTAATCCCCTTGGTCACGTGATCAAAATCAGACACCTGGTAACTGATTCATATTTATGACGGTCAGAGTGTCCTGGGGGTCACGTGATCCCCTTTTACGACTTCCTGACAAAGTCAATGGGGAAGCCCGATTCACTTAACAACTGTGTTAATAACTTAACCACTGCAGTAATTCACGTAACAACTGTGGCCGGAAAAGTCATAAAGTGGGGCAAAACTCACTTAACAACTGTGTTGGTTAGCATCAGAAATTTTGGGCTCAATTGTGGCCGTAAGTCGAGGATTTCCTGTATCGTCTCCATCCTGGATAGTAAGGGTGTTCTTGGTAGACGGGGAATTCTGAATTCATGTATTGGAACTTTGCTTTTTGAACCAGCAGGATTGAAAAGAAAAGGGAAAACCAACAAATAACAAATTGATTTTGGAGCCGGCTTTTAGAGCATTTTTTAAATAAAGTGATACAAGTGAAGGGGAGAGACTAACAAAAGACTTTCAACTTGTTAAAACAAAGTTTTCTTGGTCTCTACAGGGGAGGAAGGAAGGAAGGAAGGAAGGAAACAAGAATAAACAGCTTCAAGAATTTTAATAGTGATAATTAAGTATAGTAACAATGAGTTGTTTGGAGGCTTAGTGTAACCTTAGCCATGGAGCTCCAAGTTCTTACTTGTTCAATCCCCTCAACCTGGGTTATTTTGGAGGCTGAAATCTTGCCAGTGTTGTTTGTGCATTGGAAGAAAAGAACCACTTCTTTCGCATCAGCTGCTGGTGTCCCTGGTTAGGTGAGGTGAAAAACCCTGGTCAACTGCAGTCACACCCGGGAGGCTGATGGTTTCACCTTGTAGAAGGCAGCTTTCTATGGCCATAAGTTTTAAGAACCTATCTTCTCAGGGCAATTCCTTAGAAATAGCTGTATTATAGGTAGTCCTCTACTTATAACAGTTCATTTAATGACTGTTCAAAGTTACAATGGCATTGAAAAAAGTGACTTATGACCGTTTTTCACATTTACGACCGTTGCAGCATCTCCATGGTCAAGTGATCAGAATTTGGATTCTTGGCAACTGACTCGTATTTATGATGGTTGCAGTTGTCCTGTGATCATGTGATCCCCTTTTGGGATCTTCTAAGAAGCAAAATCAACAGGAAAGTCTTATTCATTGAGCCATGTTACTAAGTTAACAGCTGCAGTGATTCATTTAACAACTGTGGCAAAAAAGGTCATAAGATAGGGCAAAATTCACTTAACTGTCATGTTTGGCAGTGGAAATTTTGCCTTCAGTTATGATCATAAGTCAAGGACTACCTGTTCATTCCCCCCCCTCTTATTGATGTCTTAAGAGCTAGCCAGAGTTACTGTTTTGTTCTTGCTAGGAAAGAAGTAATTCTTCCTTTGGGAAGGGCTGAAAAAGGCTTTCTTAAAAAGGCATCTGCAAAGATAAGGGTTAGTTCCTAGTATATTATTGGTCATTCCCCCCCCCCCAATCTTTCTTGCTCCTTCCTCTAAAAAGAAAGAGGAGTATTTCATAATCAGGATTAGGGCTTGATTTCCTATATTTTCGTCAAGAGAGCTACTTAAAAGTCAGCCAGGCAAGAAGGCAGGAGCAGAAAAGGCAGCAGTTGCTTCTAGGTTCACAAAGTGCATTAAACCACAGCTGTTTTAACTATTGTTTGCTGAAAAAAGGCATGTTGTCCTTCCACTTTTGCTCTTATAAACCATGATGCCTATGGTTCAAACTAAAACTTTTGCAGTACAAACCAGAGCTGTGCAGTGTTTTGGATTTGACTCCAAAAAGATGTTTTTGAACTAAAGTATAGAATCTGTCTGCACCTTTTTAAAGCAGCCATGTCCTTCCTCAGATGGCAAAATCTCTGCTTCCAGCTGTTTTCTGGGATCCCTGGAAACTATGTGGCTGCTTTATGGGAAAGTAGGCAAGTCGTATGAGTGCTCCTTCCTTTCCTTCACACTGTAGGTGTGAAGGCAGCTTTGGGGAATTGAATCAGAACCATTGGGCAGCCCTTGTGGGAATGCTTCTTGGGATGGTAAAATGATTGACCATCTTGGAAATAACATGTCCCTTTTTTCCTCTGCTTCCTAGACCTTTCAAATTCCACATTGTCCTACACTGAGACGGAGGCTACAAATTCGCCTAATGTCATCACCAGAGACTTTTCTGGTAGGTAGATCTTTAAATGTGTGGAATACAATGTCGTTTTTTTTCTTTCGGAAGAAAAATACCTTGTGTACTAAACATCTATGGAGATTCTCAGTCACCCAGGTCATGGTTGTCCTAAAGGCATTTTTTCAAAAGGCAACTAGACTGTCTTTGTTTTTCCTTTAAGATGTTTCGCTTCTCATCTAAGAAGCTTCATCGGTTCTGAAGAACCAAAGAAGCTTCTTGAATGAGAAACGAAACGTCTTGGAGCCAAAACCAAGAAAGTCCAGTCGCCTTTTGAAAAAGCACCTTTGGGACCTTGTGTACTAAAACAGCAACAGAGGTGGTCCCAATGTTAAATAACAAGAATCAAGATGCCTTCACAAGAAAAAGCTAGTTAATATATAAGTAGTCCTTGACTTACAATAGTTCACTTGGTGACCATTCAAAATTATGACAGCACTGAAAAAAGTGACTTATGACTCTTTTTCACAGTTAAGACCATTCTAGTATCCTCACAATCACGTGATCAAAATCCAGATGCTTAGCAGCTGGTTCATATTTATGATGGTTGCTAGCGTTCCAGGGTCACGTGATCCCCTTTTGTGACCTTCTGACAAGCAAAGCCAATGGGGAAGCCAGATTCACTTAACAACCATGTTAGTAATTTACCAACTGCAGTGATTCACTGTTGCAAGAAAAGTCGTAAAATAAGGCAAAATTCACGTAACAATTGTCTCTCTTAGCAATATAAATTTTGGGCTCAATTGTGATCGTACGTCGAGGACTACTTGTACTTCCTCTCTTGCAGGATCTCTTAACATGGACTTGGCACTGTGGATCACTTGCTGATCCCAATAAGAGGTCCCCATGTTTATATGCCTTCAGCACTGGTACTGTTTAACATGTGCAAAATAACGCATTCTGTCAGGACAGGGAAAGCATGAAATACATTCTAACAAACTCTCTTAGCTCCAGAAATCTGCATTTGTCAAACTCGTTAAGAATTAACAAGGAAAGAAAAGAAACATATTTGATGGTGGTACTGAAAACTAGTAAGTGATCTGTATCTTTCATAGCCAATGGGTGTTCCTGAAATAGATTGCAAATGTGTTTTGTGTAAATATTTCCATTTATCTGAATAATTGTTTCTCCAAAAATATGCTCATATTTGAAAATAAGCTTCAGCTGGTTCTGTTTGTAACCTGAAGCTTGATTCTTGAGAAGTATTTCTGAAATATTAATAATTTGTTTATTTTTTTGTAGGAAAGAATAAACCCCAACCCTCCTGTATATTACTTAAATTGCTAGTAGATTTTCCTACTGAATATAGTATATTACTGCTTTGAAACACATACAAATGCACATGTGTGTGCATGTGACTTCTATACGCACAGACATGCATGTCGCCTCTCCTGTTTCAAAAAATGTCCCTGCCCTGTTTTTAGCAAGGAGTCCAGTAATGGTCTTCCTGTTTTTCAGGACTCTGTTTGCTCAGGAACTTCGATAGCTTCACTCTCACCCTTCTCTTGTTATTGTTTGTGAAATTGCCAGTGTAGGGAAGTAGGGGGGGAAAATCACATTACTGATTTTAAGTCCTTTTTTGAAAATGTGCTTTGCAGGTTTGTGTTTGGTTTATATTTAGAGTTCACTAAGATGCTTGAGGGTCCTTCGTTTGTTGCCTCATAAATAATGTGGTTCTTGGTGATTTGTATTTGGAGTCTTGCACGGAGGAGGAGGAAAGGTAACGTAAAGGCTAAACAAGCCCCCCTGAAGTTTGGCTCTCAGGGAGGCTGGCAGTGTTGATGGGGGGGGGGCAGAGCAGAGGGGAAGGGGGTGAGAAAGTGGCCCTGGTGGATCCATCCAGGCCATCTGCTGAGGGGTCACTGGCTGTCCCTGAGGGCAGTTTGGCCCCTTAGTCACAGACAGGCGCACAGCTTGGCAGATGCTGAGGTTAGAACTGCACTTCAGGTGGACTTATAACCACAACTGAGTCCAAAATTTCCATTGTTAAGCAGAAAAGGCAGTTGTTAAATGATCTTTGCCCCATTTTACCACCTTTGTTGCCACAGTTGTTAAGTGAATCACTGCAGTTGTTAAGTTAGTAACACGGTTGTTAAGTGAATCTGGCTTCCCCATTGACTTTGCTTGTCAGAAGGTCGTAAAAGGGGATCGCGTCACCCCTGGACATGGTGACTATCATAAGTATGAGTCAGTTGCCAGTGTCTGAATTTTGATCACGTGACCAGGGGGATGCTGCAACAGTTGTGTGAAAAATGGTCGGAAGTCACTTTTTTCAGTGCTGTTATAACTATGAACGGTCATTATACAAACTGTTATAAGTCAAGGACTACCTGTATACCTTTTGTTTTTCGCAGCCTCAGCATAGGAACATGATATTCCATTATGTTGTATTTCAGTACAGATCCTTCTCTGTGGGTGAACTTTAATTTATCCACCCTGGAACGTTTCCTGCTCATTGCAATTGCTCCTGAAAGCTGCTGGAGCTAATGAACTCCTGCAAATGTGTTGCTTACTCTAAACATTTGGAAATTTAAGATCCAAAAAGGGCGCTGGTCCGGATTCTACCATTCCCACAGCCTTGTGCTCAGGAAACAGTAAAGCCTGAGTGATGCTCAATGCTTTTTCTCTCTCTCTCAAGATGGATTGTGTGCCAACTCTGAGAGGAAAGGTTGAGGAAGCTTCCAGAAATTTGATTCCAGCGTGTAGGAATGTGAGATATTTTTTGGGCCTCAGGAAGGGACATGTGCTTGCGTGGTATAACTCAGCCTGTCTTGGCTCCTGACTCAGCTCTGAAGCTCAAGTCAAGATTCTGACCACTGACCTAGAAGGGGGGGAGCATAAGGCACTTTTACTATCAACTTTTGGAGGGTGAGATCCAAAACATTTTGTGTGACCCAGCGCTGATTCTCTCTCTTTAAATGAGCTGTGGATGAATGTTCAGATGCTCTTTACTTCCAGGGTGAAAGGTGGTAGATTCATGTGGCATCTCACTTTTGCATAACCATCAGAAGAAGGAAAAAGTGGGCTTAAACTTTTCTGCTAGAACAAAATAACAATCACTTTGTAACCAAAATGTTAGTGTAATTGGATCTGCCCATCTCCTACTGTGGAATTTCAAGTGGCTCAGCTTTTCATAAGAGTCTAATGTCTGTTATTTATCTTTCCCCAGTGGGCAGAGTTACATCTATAGGATAAGAGGCTTGCTGTGGTTTAACTCTTAAGTTGCTAGACTAAAGCAACAGTTGTGATCCGAGAGTGGTTTCCAAGATCAGCTTTCCTCGGTCTGGGAGGCAGCAGATGTGCTTTGGTTGAAGTTGCCCAGATTGGCAAGCAGAACGGCCAGATGCTGGCAGTGAATTGGTGGAACTGTACCCTCAGTTCCTTGGGCGACTGCCCTTTAGGGGAGGCAACATTGCCCAAAGGCTCTTGACATTGATCCCAAGCAGGGTCCATTGGATGAGTCTGATGAAGAGCTTGGGTCCTCAATAGAGACGTTGAAGGGTGGGACTTTGCCTTTCCTTTCTGGATGGGTGGGAGGGCAAACATGTTGCCAGGTTAGAATAGAATAGAGCTGGAAGGGACCTTCTAGTCCAGCCCCCTGCTCAAGCAGGAGAACCTATACCATTTCAGATAAATGTCTAGTCTCTTCTTAAAAATCTTCAATGATGGAGCATCCACAACTTCTGGAGGCAAGCTGTTCCACTGGTTGTTTGTCCTCACTGTTGGGAAGTTTCTCCTTAATTCTTACTTCTTGTCCTGCCTTCAGATGCTTTGAAAAATAATTTTACCCCCTCTTCTTTGTGGCAGCCCCTCAAATATTGGAATACTGCTATCTAACTGTTGTTGTACTTGCCCACCACCCCAACTGCGGGCTGGAGAATTCTGGGAGTTGAAGGCCATACCTCTTAAAAGTTGCCAAGATTGAGAAACTCTGCCCTATTTGAGCAGAAGACCCTGCTCTAACCTTAACCCTTTCTTTTTCCACAACCGCACAATTCATTACTGGTACTTTCAGGTAGAATGTGCCTAATGTTTGTTCCCAATGTCCCGTCATGCTCTGCAATAAGAGGAAAAGGTCCTTTGGGCATTTGAAAAAGCACTTAAGTTAGAAACACGGTTGTTAAGTGAATCTGGCTTCCCCCTTGATTTTGCTTGTCAGAAGGTCACAAAAGGGAATCCTGTGATCCCAGGACATGGCCACCGTCATGGGAGAACTGCTTTAAACATTTAATGTAATCCCCAGCAAACCAATAAGAATGTTAGTCAAGGAGACACAGGGCAGAAGATTCAGTCGGTGGCCTTGTAGTCTCCTGCCCTTGGCCCACTTTCTTCTACAGTATGGGGAGAAGATAGCAGAAGAAATTTCACCTACCTTCCCTGGCCTGCCTTTCATGTGTGGCCCATCTTTTGGGTTGGACTTAATGCATATTGGACCCAGGAATCCTCCTTTCCTCCCACCCACCCCAAATAATCCCCCACCGAAGAGAAGACTTGAAGAAAGCAAATTTGAGAGAAAGTTGAATATTCCCTTTTGTGAACCTCACTTTGTCCTTCGCAAAATGTTTATGGATTGCTTCGTTTGCCCCAAGTGTACATGGTCAGTGCAAAAGATACCCTCGGATTCCCATGTGATTGAGAAGCCATGAAGTTTGTCCAGGTCTAACTGGGAGGCTTTGGCAGGTATTGGACTGAGTCCAGCAGATCAAGATCCTCGTTCTCTCTGTTTACAGCCAATCCTGGTTTTTCAGTTCAGCCTATCTTGCAAGTTTGCTATTACAGGTAGTCCTTGACTTACAGCCGATCACTTAGGGACCATTTTGAACGGATCCTCTCAAAAGTACTTAAAACCTAGTTGCAATGCACCCACCCACAAGACTGTATTTTGGGCCCTTGGCAACTGGCTTGAATTTATGGCCGTTTGCATCAGGCACATGACCATGATTTACAATGTTTTTGCTGAAAACTAGCTTTTATGTCCCAGGGTTTTTGGCAAAACA